CACACATCCAAACTCAGGTTAATAAAGCCAGGCAAAGACTGTACCATCTGCGACAGCAGAGAAAATCCGTAGTCTGATGGCAAAAACCGAGAGACTTAGGAAGAGCTTCTTCCCCCAGGTCATCAGGCTCCTAAACTCAGTCTCTTAACACCAACATGACTTCACTTAATTATCAGTAAGACACTTAATATACTGACATTGTCACTTGCACACAGCAAATCTCTGTTATTTAATTTACTTTTTACTGGCGGTCATTAAGCCTCTTATTAAGAAACCACAACTAGATCCTAGTGAACTGGCTAATTACAGACCCATCTCAAATCTTCCTTTTATGTCTAAAATTTTAGAAAAAGTTGTGTCTGCTCAATTGTGCTCCTTCCTGCAAAATTTACCCCTGTTGCTGCTATGTAACTACCCTGTACAACCTGTTTGCACATTCTCCTCTTGTACATTCCTGCTCATCTAAATATTTATTAAGTCTACAGTATACTGTCCTGCACATTTTATTTTTATTCTTATTTTTTTAAATCTTTTTCCATACCTATATTTATATATAATTTTCTTGTGTTTTGTATTCTTTAATAATTGCACTGTCCATGGAGTGGACCTAACTTACATTTCACTGCTGGTCATATATTCTCTATATAACCATGTATGTGACAAATAAAAAATCTTGAATCTATTTATACCATGCTCACTCTCTGTCTTTGCTGCAGTATTGTTCGAGGTTACATCGTGTTTTCTGTTCCCTGTGTTTTGGATTACCTTTTGTCTAGTTTTTGTTCTGTTCTGATTATTTGTTACTTTAATAAACTACTGCAATTGGATCTACCTTGTTTTCTCCTGGCATTCTGTGACAGTGTTATTCAATGAAACCACTTAATTATTAATTAATAATCATTATTACCTTTATTGTCTTATATCATGCATTTTAAAGGCTGTTGTTGGCTTAGGTCTGATTTTATAACCACAAAAATATATTATCTTAATACTTCTTTGTAAACTATTACACTGAAAAAAATTATACAACATTTTTTTAAGGTAAGTGGTTGCCAACAATTTATTTGAGCTATATTTAATAAAAACAAATGTTGAAAGTTAGTCAACTAAATTTGTTCATTTAAATGTAGCTAAAATAAATTGATTGCAACCACTTACCTTATTTGTTTTTAGTAAATTCAATGAATAATTTTTTTCAGTGTATTTGAAGTAACAAAACCATGGTAAATTTGTGGTTACCATCTATGGCTACAAAAACCATGATTTTTTATTTGTAAAACCATGGCTAATTTTTGTAAGGGAACATGGAAAGTCAGAGAGAATATTGGATGCGTTGATGGTGGTTAAATTATTACCGACATTAAAACACGTTATTAGTGGTGGAAAGAGTACTAAGAAATTGTACTTAAGTAAAAGTATTGCTACTTAAGGAATAATTTACTTGAGTACAAGTAAAAGTACTGAAAAATAATATGACTCAAGTAAGAGTAAAAAAGTAGTTTGCTGAAAAACTACTCAAGTTACCATGTTACAAAGTACTTTAGCATTATTATTTTTTTCTTTTACCCAAAATGAGACGATGTGAGCATTATGGAGCAGGGTTAACCCTAATCCTAACACCCATGTACTGTAATGACTGTTTCAGAAGTGAGACCCAGGAAATCCCTTATATGGACAAATACATCAGATAATGTTACAAAGTACTTTAGCATTATTATTTTTTTCTTTTACCCAAAATGAGACGATGTGAGCATTATGGAGCAGGGTTAACCCTAATCCTAACACCCATGTACTGTAATGACTGTTTCAGAAGTGAGACCCAGGAAATCCCTTATATGGACAAATACATCAGATATCACTACAGCTGAATAACATGCAGATAGAGATGCTTTGACTGATGAAACGTGGAAGACAATAAACACACAATTGCAATGCAACGCTAGTTGACATAGCTTGTATCACAGTATAGAATTTTATAAAAAATATTTTCTGTCTCACTGTGATAAGAAGCAACATGGAACCACAGAAGGTAACTGTTTTAAACACGACTGATGTTATATAGAGATTTAGGAGCAAAACATGATATTAGTCTCTTAAATTGTCATGTTTGATGCTATGTTTGTCAGTCCTGTGCTCCTGTCTTTGTTGTGTTTTGTTCCGTGTTTTGTTTTTTCCTCACCCACGTGCCCCATGATCTAGTTTCTCCCATGTCTGATTATGTTCATTGTTCCCACGTGTTTCCTATGTCTATGATTTGATTTGATTTCAGGTGTGTCTCGTTTGGTTCTAAGTTCTTAAGCCCTGTGTTTTTCCCGTGTCTAGCGTCTGGTATTGTTCTTCTATCTCATCTGCTATGTATGCGCGTGCCTTGTTGTTGTAAATAAAGACTTTCTTCATGGCTTCCCCTACGTCTCCTCGCTCCTTCACAGTAGCAGCAGCAGCGTTTGCAATGTTAAGCAAACATACTACCTATCCCTGTTGCCAGGAGCAACTGTTTTATAACTAATTTTGAAAAGTACATTCACGTATAAGATTATGGGGTTGTTTTTAAGAAGGGCAAAAGCAATGAAGGGTAAGTGAAGGTTTAAAAGAAAAGAAAGGGTCTAAAACAGTGTGAATAGAAAGGTGCCAATAATGTGGGGTAAAAAAGTGACGTGACGTGACATGTGGCCAAGTATGGTTACCCATACTAGGAATTAGTGCTCTGCAATTAACCCATCTACTACCTGTAGCTTGTTTATTGAAGATGCAGGACAACCACCTAGCAGTGCATTACAATAGTCCAGTCTAGAGGTCATGAATGCATGAACTAGCTTTTCTGCATCAGAAACAGGTAACATGTTTTGTAACTTGGCAATGTTTCTAAGATGGAATAATGCTGTTTTTGTAACATGGGAAATATGATTTTCAAAAGACAAGTTGCTATCTAATATTACACCCAGATTTTTGACTGTAGAGGAAGTAACAGTACACCCATCTAGTTGCAAATTGTAATCCAAGAGATTCTGTGTACTGTCTTTTGGTCCAATAAGTAATATCTCTGTCTTATCCGAATTTAATAGAAGAAAATTATTGGTCATCCAATCTTTTAGATTTTTAACACACTCTGTTAATCTTTTGGTGCGATTAATGAAGCTGAAGTATTATACGCTATAGAATCTACATTTGTTATTGTATTTCTGATGTTATCTATTTTATCAGTAAAGTAATTCAAAAAGTCATTACTATTAAACTGTGAGGGAATATTTCAATCGGGTAGCGTCTGGTTATTTGTTAATCTAGCCACTATGCTAAATAAAAACCTTGGATTGTTTTGGTTATTTTCTATGAGTTTGTGGATATGCTCGGCCCCTTTATTGTGGTGTAACAGTGATCCAATATATTACTGTCTCTGGTGGGACATGTGATGTGCTGTCTGTATTTTGGCAGTTCACGGGAGAGATTGGCTTTATTAAAGTCCCCAAGAATGATTAAAACAGATTCCGGATGTTGTTGTTCTGTGTCTGTGATCAGATCAGCGAGTTTCTGTACAGCGGAGCTCACGTGCGCTTGCGAAGGAATGTACACACTGACGAGAATGAACGAGTGAAACTCTCGCGGCAAATAGAACGGCTTACAGTTAATGAAGAGCAGCTTCTAATGTATTAGAGAAGATAGTGCCCAAGTTGCTAGTCATTTCGTCTAGTTTATGTGTACTTATGGGTACACAGAGGAGTTGAGATAAATCAGGCAGGTTATTTGTGAATCTGTCTTTGGTGGCTGGAATAATAGTTCTGCCCGGACGATAACGCGGAGCCATATAGTTAATATCAGTAATACGCAGCATGCACGATACCAGGAAATGGTCAATAACATCATCACTTTGAGGTACGATATCTATATCAGTAAGATCTAGTAGATCAGTAAGATCTAATAAGGCAGAATAGTTTTTATGTTGTAATAAATGTTATGTCAATTAGCACTGCATAATTCATATACTATATTTATTACCTGGAAATGACCTAAAATTACCCTTTTTTTAGCTACAGCCATAGCTGGATGCCTTTGTCCATATTAGGAATTTCCTGCACGTCATAAGTTATTATATATTACTTCTACTGGGGCGTTTTGGACTTTCTGGGCAAGAGCGCCCTCCGGCTTAGAACATGAATGAAACATGTACTGCATGTTCACATCGTCTCGTTTTGGATATGAATAAATCGTCTGGCCATACATAGACTATCTTGTTTCTTCGCCCATGTGCACACACATCCAAAGCACGCACATAGAAAAAGTGATTTAAAATGCATCTGATTGACAGATAAATCATGGTTGATCTATCAGCCAAATGCACGTAAACATGCATGCACTCTTATTTCAATGTTGTTGTTAATGTTATGGTTATTTTAGCTTCTTACATTTAGTTTAACTACATGGTTAAAGAGGGCGATTTTTACCATTCAACTGAACTGTGTGCATGTTCTTGCTCCATCCATGCAATAATTCTATCAACCGAGTTTTCTATTTACTTATAGTGCTGTGTGCTCTGGTAAAATCAATGGTATGACCCATTTCAGGAGCTGACAAAATTACGATTTAAAATCAGAGCATAGCTCACATTCACTAAAATATAGAAACGCTTGCTGATTCAAAACGACAACGCCGGTGATTGACAGTCAAAGCAAAGCACGGTTTGAAGGCCCCCCGCCCCCCAGCTGAACTGGAAGTTTTGATTGGTTTTGCACCCGAGTCAGACCTGTCTCTTTTTGCCTGAAGCGCAGAGCTCCACCCCAGAAGTTTGAAAAGGGCCCGTCAAACGCTGCCTCGCTCTGTTTCTCCATCGGCACCTCCTTTGTCTATTTTTTATATATATTTTTTTTAACTTTTGGTGAAAAATAAATGTAAACTGAAGTCTGGGCTGTTTTTAATCCAATAATTATCTTAACAGTTTATTAATCTAATCTAATTTGTTGTAATACACCCTGATTTCTGCATTTCTGTTAAATATGTATGTGGTGCTTAGTTCTTGCTCCATCCATGCAATAATTCTATCAACCGAGTTTTCTATTTACTTATAGTGCTGTGTGCTCTGGTAAAATCAATGGTATGACCCATTTCAGGAGCTGACAAAATTACGATTTAAAATCAGAGCATAGCTCACATTCACTAAAATATAGAAACGCTTGCTGATTCAAAACGACAACGCCGGTGATTGACAGTCAAAGCAAAGCACGGTTTGAAGGCCCCCCGCCCCCCAGCTGAACTGGAAGTTTTGATTGGTTTTGCACCCGAGTCAGACCTGTCTCTTTTTGCCTGAAGCGCAGAGCTCCACCCCAGAAGTTTGAAAAGGGCCCGTCAAACGCTGCCTCGCTCTGTTTCTCCATCGGCACCTCCTTTGTCTATTTTTTATATATATTTTTTTTAACTTTTGGTGAAAAATAAATGTAAACTGAAGTCTGGGCTGTTTTTAATCCAATAATTATCTTAACAGTTTATTAATCTAATCTAATTTGTTGTAATACACCCTGATTTCTGCATTTCTGTTAAATATGTATGTGGTGCTTAGGAAGTGAGTGCATGCCAAATCAGAAGTCGTTCCTACGAACATATCACTTCCCTGTCCAGTCCAGTTCTACTTCCAGTTCCGGATCTTCCAGCACTCAACCTCACCAGCTTACTAATAAACCACCTGCTCCACCAATTACCCCGGTGTAGTCTATTACCACAGAGCACTTCATCAATAAGAGCTTGTAATTTATTCTTTACTAGCTTGCATCCAGGTGGAGGCTGCACACTGGTGGTGGATGAGGAGATATCCCCTGACAATGTAAAGCGCTTTGAGTGCTTAGAAAAGCGCCATATAAATATAATGAATTATTATTATTATTATTCATTACCGAACTTTTACATCCACCGCCTTCTCTTTTACCTGTGAGACAGCTCCGCCCCCTGGATTTGCCCTCATTGTGTGGCTCATGTTGTGTTTGTTGGTTGTGGATGTTAATTCAGATGCTCAGCGGTTGTAGAGTTACATTTGTGACAATAATAATAATAGTAATTAAAGGCACTGTAGGCTGTTAGTAATCACTTTATTTTATTTTAAACATATTTCCATGGAACTTGTTCCATACATGTAAATGCAGCTCAGCATGCTTTCCAGGAATTTTGCATTAGAAACAATTCAATATAACAGATCACAATGAGATTTGCTAAACAAAATGAGTTAGTAACCGTAATCAGGTAATTAGAGTAAATGGTAAAATATCATAATTCAATCATCTGAAAATTGAAGAAAGTTTACAATACCAGTGAGGATGTCTGTGTAATAAGCTCTAAGCTGTGCTATAAAGTCGAATAATAATGTATACATCTGTAATATAAACTCGTACCATACCCAAATATCCAAACATGTGGTTTTTCTCAACAAAGCTCAAACATATTTAGAGTCTTTAGAGAATAAGTGCTGCATTAAAAGCCCTGATGGCTGGATGATAATCATTAATCCTCCTGTTCTGTTAAATTACTTACGTTTTTTATTTTTATTTTAGAGCAATACTACAGAGCCCTAAAGTCTTTGCACATGATCGCGAATCCTCCCGATCAGGTGGTTGTAACAACGACGATGGAGGGAATAAAAGGAGATGGAGGAATTGAGTTGCCTCCAACATCCCCGTTCTGCTTCACATTTACACACAGTCATTTTAACAAGAACTAAACTTTAGCTTGTTATCAGGCTCGGCTTTCAATTTTAGTTACAGACATGTAGCTGAGTGCATTAATCTTTATGTTGGAAATTAGCATTTTCTTTTTGAGTAAAATGGATCATTTTGAGGAGCAGGGTTGCCAAAGTCAGATTTTCCCGTTTTGGAACAAGGTTGGGTTAGAAAAAGCAAGACCATGGGTGGTGCTTTTTGGGGGTGTGGGAAAGTACACAAAAAAAAAGCTTAGGTCTTGTTTTAGAGCAAATCATCAGAAGTAAAGCTAATACATTTCACAGAAAACCACTGGTTATGGCAAACAAAGGGAAAGCGTAAAGTATGGAAAATGTACGGAGCCATTTCTGCACAGGTTGGGAGAGGAAAAACAGGATTATGGAGAGGATAAGTCGTAACAGGCAATGGATGACAAAACTCTAACCCTAAGTGTGTTGGAAACATTGCAAATATACAAATATGTGCACAAAACAGTGAACTTTTAGTTTCTTCCAGTGTCCAAACTTTTTAAGCTAGTTTCAGGTCTGTGGAATTTAGGATGTAGTTGAGCTGGAAATTTTGAAAGGAAACCTGGCAACCCTGAACAGGAGAAATAAATTCACTGTCCATACAAAGGTGCAACTTCATGCAAAATATGAATGCACCAGTCAAACCCACGAGCTGTTTTGTACATGGTCGCAACTTCCTGTCTTACCTGTTCAAACCGGCCCTGTCTAATCTCTATATTGGCAATCCACCTGACCTTTGCCAGTTGGTCCACATAGATTTCAAGGTTATTCATATTATCTATGACAAAATTCACCCTTTGTCTCTCCTCTTCTGTCACATCACCTGGGTTTATGCGGCGCAGCACATCTATCAAAGCACCACGCAGTGCTCTGCAATATTCACCATACATCACTCCATTCGCATTCACGTAGAATTCATCCTCACCAAAGTGAACCACCATGTTCGTCTGAATATCTTCTGCTGTGTTTGGGGGAAGTGTGTGGCTGCCTAATGTATCCATTGCCTGCTGATTATATCCTCCTAGATTATCAATATGATGGCTTTGTATAAAATCAGTCAGCACTTTGAAATGAAATTTAAGAATGCTATTGTTGAAGACATGTTCGCCTCTTTCTGACCTTCCCAGTTCTTCCTTCAGCTCGTGTTTGAAGTTTGGATTGATGATATGGATCTTTTCTAACATGTCTTTCTTAATAGCCTCCACTCTTTTCTGTGTCTCTTTCTGCTGAGCTGGAGTTGGAGGTTTTGTTCCCCTTTTGGAACCTTTGACCATATGTTCAATAATCATTTCCTTTCTGACCTCTGTGGAGAAAAGAATTTTTTTTCCCCGTGCTGTGATTTAACTCTAAATTAAATTTATTTCATTTAAATTTAGAACAGTGAGAAGAGCAAAAATAACACGCACCTCTCACATTTATGAGTCCAGAAAATTCAGCTCCAGCTGCTGCTGGTTTATCAGGTAGAGACAACTTCTAAATATGGAAAGATACATTTAAATAAAAACTCTGTTACCATTGACTGGCATGATGGTGCACTGTGACATGCAATAATTATACCATATTTATACATTATGTAAAGAATAACACATGATGAACCATGCTGATGTATGAAAATAATCCACTTCGGGAACTCTGAGCCTCATAAGAGACGATTACATCCTTAAAATTAAACTGGAAACCAACAAAGAGTAGAGCGTACAGGAGTCGTACATGATGGTTCATGCAGGAGAACAACACAAAATCATAAACCATTTTTAAAAAATATATCCAACTGAACTCTGATAATAACAATAGTGTACTAGAATTTTTGTGTTTTTGAAGCTTAGTTCATATTAAAGTTTTTAACTGCTGACTTTTTTTTGTGGAATATTAGGAGAATTTGCTTTACTGTCTGTCAATCTTTGAACATATGATATTTAAATATGACTCACTTTCATATGTTTTGCCTTCACGTGTTTTTTTAATGACTCTTTCACAATGTTTTCAATGGCCTTCTCTTTCTCCTTTATCACCGCTTTATTCCCTTCGTACAGAGCCAACACCAGCTCCACTGCCTCTTTTACCGTCCCGATGACAGGAACGATGTCCATGAACCCGATCCACACGGTGTGTTCTTCAGCCGCAGTGCACATGCTGTTCTGCTGTCTCTGTATCTAAAACCTTTAAAGAGAAGAAGTGCTGTGCTTTTATAGGGCTGTTTTCCTCCATTCTACATGAACACTAATAAGTACTTGGGAAATTAAGCCACACAAACAAATCAATGAATTTTACTGCATTTGAAAACAACATGTTAAACCAAGTGGTATTTATTTTGAAGAAAGCACAAAACATTTCCCCAAAAATAGATTGTTTAAAAAAATTTAAATAGATATACTGGTCATAATTAGACAAAAATGTATTTGGACCCTCAGTAGTGGCTTCATTAAAGATCACAGTTACAGTGTTTTAGTGTTTAGTTTCTGTAACAGCTGCAGTGGAAGTTTTCTTCCATCTTTCAACCAAAAAAAAAAAGTTTATCCCAGAGGTAGTCATATTATCTCATTTAATACATTATCTCAAAAATAAATGTATCTTACCTGTTTGTATTTAGCTGACTGTAGAGTTTTTGCAGCAGTGTCAGTCAGTCACTCAGCTCTGATCAGTGCTCTGTAATGAGCAGCACTTTCTGCTTTTTACAGTCTCTACTAACAGAAAGGGTTTTTCTTTTCTTTTTTAACCGGGCGTTACCTTTCCAGGAAAGGAACGTCCTCTTACAAAAATGATTACAACACTCTGTTCTAGTTAAGAAATCTAAACACCAACTTAAAACCAGACTCTTCACTTTCCTTCGTGTTTTTAACTTCCAAAAAGCAAATCAAAATCTTTGCACTGAGATCAAGCAAAAATAATGAAATGTTTTTACACACTCTTGCTTCTGTGTAATTGCTGTTTTGGGCTCTGAACATGAGCTGCATGAAGAGATAATGTTTATTAATGTAACATCGATGCTGATAACACCACCTAAATTATAGAAAGAATTTTACTAATAGCAATAGTTGACCTTTTAGACTTGAACTTGCAGGTGTTTCCTGTTTTCATTTTGTTTTAATTTTTTTATTGTGTATTGTTGTATTGTATATTGTAGTGTGTATTGTTTCATTTATCAGCAACATTAACTTTTTATCCTTGATTTATTCTTTGGAAAGTGTTCTTGCAGAAATAAAAAAAACAGCACAAAACCAAGAATAGGAAACAGCCATAAGTTGAGGTCTAAACGGCCAATGAAATATAAGTTCTATTCACAAAAACATTTATGTAATTAATGTAATTTTGTTTCTTACAGTAAATACAAAATGCCATTTCTATGTTCATCTCTCTTTTTTTATATTTTGCTCTAAGTTCCAGTCCTCCTGCCTTATCTATTGTTTGCACCCTTTAACCTGTTTTTGTAAGAGGAAGTTCCTTTCTTGGGAAGATAACACTGGGTTTTATTGCACTGAGCTGTTTCTCAACACTTCTGTGGAAGTGGCATGAGACTACTAGACCAGCAGGTTTTCATGTTTATGCATGTGTGTGTGTGTCTGATTGTTTAGTCCATAGTGTATTTTTAAAAGCCATATGTCTGGCTTAATAAGAAACATTTAAAAAAAGAAGCAGGAGAGTTATTGTGTCATTCAGCACACATCAGGCTGGATACTAATACATTTCTTTGTAAATCGTTCACAGGAGAATTTACAGAAGAATCAAAATATTCATAAAAATCCAGTTAGGTGGGAAAAACATTCGTATCCTACTGTCACGAATCCGGTTCATGAACTTTCCAATTCATTGACTCTCGCACTACACACTGTTGCACATCACCCCGGACTACATTTCCCATCATGCATTGCACTGATTGCACTCAGCACGAATTGCACACACCTGTTTACACTGATTGCACCCAGCTGTTTCATATCACTCCCTCACTATTTAACACTCACTCTGATCCCTTCCCTCTGCCGAGTATTGTTTCAGCGTTTATCACTCTCCTAGAGATAGCTACCTTACGGAGCCCTAGTCATTTGCCTTAGCCCTAGTCATTTGCCTTAGCCCTAGTCATTTGCCTTAGCCCTAGTCATTTGCCTTAGCCCTAGTCATTTGCCTTAGCCCTTCCAATTCATTGACTCTCGCACTACACACTGTTGCACATCACCCTAACCCTACATAACCCATCATGCATTGCACTGATTGCACTCAGCACGAATTGCACACACCTGTTTACACTGATTGCACCCAGCTGTTTCATATCACTCCCTCACTATTTAACACTCACTCTGATCCCTTCCCTCTGCCGAGTATTGTTTCAGCGTTTATCACTCTCCTAGAGATAGCTACCTTACGGAGCCTTTGTCATTGCCTTAGCCCTAGTCATTTGCCTTAGTCATTAGCCTTAGCCTTAGCCCTAGTCTTAGCTTTAGCCCTAGCCTAGCTGTTTTCCCGGTTTCTGATCTTCGCCTGGTTTCCTGGATTTCTCCCTTAGTCTTGCCCCTTCTGACTCTGTCTGCCCATCATCGACCCACGCTAGCCCTAGGACTGTTCTTGTGTCTTGCCCAGCATATACCTGTCTGCCTCTGTTTAACCCTGCCTGCTTCATGACCACGTCTCTGTCTTCTCCACAATAAAGCCTTGCAGATGGATCCGCACGTCTCGTCAGTTCTGTAACACCTACACCGTGTGAACCTCGATTGATTCGCTTCAAATCACATCCATAAATTAAGACCATTAAGATTAGCCGTTCAATTAGGACAAAAGCAATGGCATCTTATACACAGAGGAAGAATGCTGCAAAAACAGTGGCCATTTCTCAATACGCAAAGTTCGGATATGCGTCCTCGGTAGTTCAGACTTCACAAGTTTGACTTGGGAGTGCGAACTCCCGTGGACGGGAGGACACAAGTCCGGTAATTCTGCAAATAGAGCTGCAGAGTACTTGATAACGTCAGTCAGCTCGGCTTACTTGGCTACTCCGGTTATCTACACTGTATGCATTTACAATACGACAAAATATGATATCAAACACCATTGCCTCTTTCTGTGAAAATGAATAGAGATATCAGCCTTAAACTTTGTTTTTGTCATTTACATCAGCTATATTTGTATAAAATACACTATTTTTTTGTGTCAGTACATTAATGGCACATTTGAGCAGCATTAGTAAACTGTCACATGCACGTTTTTTTTTTAGACCGGAGACCACAATCGTGTAATTTTATTATGATATGAAATGTCCAATTTTTCTTTCAATGTTTTTTAAAAGTTTTGAAAATTTCGTGATACTAAACTTTTTATTAGTTGTCATAGCAAGTGGTTTTAAAAGTAGGATGGCTCACTTTTTATAAGATGACTGAACATTTTACTTAAATTCGTAGTTTATTCTTACTTTTGGAAACCTGTAAATTGTTTTATAATTACTATTAATAGTATTATTATTATTTCTGTTGTTTCTAGAAGTAGTTATTTTGAGAATAGTCAATAGAAAAAATATAACCACACACACACACACACACACACACATTTGTCCACAGAATAATTACACATTTTTTCACGCATGAACCTCTACCTCTGCCAGCAGGACCTCAATTTGAGACTCAGTAAAGTTTTTTTTTTCTTTGTGCTCGTCATTCTCAAGCATAGAAATTCAGATATAGGCCTGTGCTCTTATATATGGTAATGATATTAATTAGGGGGTGGAGATCGGACACGAGTCAGCTGTGCACAATTTCAAGATCATTTGCGATTTATAAACATCACATCTGGAAGAGAGGCACGTGTTTTTGTGCGCACGTTCGTTTTCTCTGAATCGCACTTATGCACTTTTGAGAAATGATCTTAGAACAAATTTAGGAAGGTTTATACGCAACATTTTATAAATGAGACCCAAGGTCCCTTTCTACGAAGGCACTTTTTGTAAATGATATTATCACTGATCATAACCTAGATGTGCTCTGTTTGACAGAAACCTGGCTAAAACCTGATGATTACATTATTTTAAGGGAGTCTACCCCCCAAGATTACTGTTATAAACATGAGCCGCATCCAAAAGGTAAAGCGGGAGGTGTTGCTAAAATTTATAACAATATTTTCAGTATTTCTCAGAGGGTGGGCTTCAAGTATAACTCGTTTGAAGTAATGGTGTTTCATATAACATTATCCAGAGAAACAAGTGTTAATGATAAATCCCCTGTGATGTTTGTACTGGCTACTGTATACAGGTCACCAGGACACCATACAGACTTTATTAAAGAATTTGCAGATTTTATATAAAGATAAAGTTTTAATAGTAGGTGATATTAATATCCATGTTGATAATGAAATAGATGCATTGGGATCTGCATTCATAGACATTCTGAACTCTATTAGGGTTAGACAACACGTGTCAGCACCTACTCATTGTCGAAATCATACACTAGATTTAATACTGTCACATGGAATTGATGTTGATGGCATTGAAATTATGCAGCTCCTTGTTACAAGTATGGTAGAACCATCACTCTACCACAAAAGACTGCTTTGTAAGTAATCTTCCTGATTTCCTGATTTATCTCATCATATCCAAAACCTCAGAACAATTTGATGATGTAACAGAAACTATGAACTCTCTCTTTTCTAGCATTCTAGCATTTGTTGCTCCTTTACGCTTAAGGAAGATTAAGGAAAACAGTCTGACACCGTGGTATGATGAGCACGCTCGCACCCTAAAGAGAGCAGCCCGGAGAATGGAGCGCAGCTGGAAGAAAACAAAACTAGAGGCATTTCGTATTGCATGGCGGGAAAATACCCTATCCTACAGAAAAGCATTAAAAACTGCTAGATCTGATTACTTTTCATCTCTTTTAGAAGAAAACAAACATAACCCCGGGTATGTATTCAATACAGTGGCTAAATTAACGAAAAATAAAGCATCAACAAGTGATGACATTTCCCAACAACACAGCAGTAATGACTTTATGAACTACTTTACTTCCAAGATCGATACTATTATAGATAAAATTGTAACCATGCAGTCGTCAGCTACAGTATCGCATCAGATAGTGTGCTATAGATCCCCTGAGGAACAATTCCACTCATTCTCTACTATAGGAGAAGAAGAATTGTATAAACTTGTTAAATCATCTAAACCAACAACATGTATGTTAGACCCTATTCCATCTAAGCCCCTAAAAGAGGTGCTTCCAGAAGTCATAGATCCTCTTCTGGCTATTATTAATTCATCATTGTCATTAGGACATGTCCCCAAAACCTTCAAACTGGCTGTTATTAAGCCTCTCATCAAATCTAATTAATTACAGACCGATCTCGAATCTCTCTTTTCTGTCCAAGATACTAGAAAAGGTAATATCCTCACAATTATATTCCTTTTTAGAGAAAAATGTTATCTGTGAGGATATCTGTATCATAGTACTGAGACTGCTCTCATTAGAGTTACAAATGACCTGCTCTTATCATCTGATCGTGGTTGTATCTCTCTATTAGTGCTAGGGTGGGCTTCAAGTATAACTCGTTTGAAGTAATGGTGTTTCATATAACATTATCCAGAGAAACAAGTGTTAATGATAAATCCCCTGTGATGTTTGTACTGGCTACTGTATACAGGTCACCAGGACACCATACAGACTTTATTAAAGAATTTGCAGATTT